TATATATATACATATATATATATGTATGAACGGTGCACTCACACACTCGCACACTTCTGCGTGTCCTGAACGAACTGGGCTTTTGCAACCACGGCCGGAGCATTTGCAACGTTAATGTTGACGTTGACGCTGTAACTAAAAGGCGTTTCCCCCGTAGCTTGTGCGCATATACGCATAAAAAGCAAAAATACACGACTGTCTAAACACTGGGATTGGCGCAGAGTTAAGCTGTTTCAACCCTAGGCACGGTGAGGGAATGGTCTACCCAAAATTTTGATCAACGATTTTAATTGATTTTATTTTACTATACAAAGTGCTTGTAAGTGCTTTCCAGCCTTAACAATATGTATTTAATTTGCTTAGCCAATAAAAATATGATTAAAAATGAAATATGAAGTAAAAATATGAAGTAAAAATGAAGCTAAATAATTCAAGTGAAAATCTTAAGAATACCCTCCATAAAGAGATATTTGTAACATGACAATCCTCTCTATTATTATTATTATTTTATAGACTCAGTTGTCTCACGGCTTTCCATATACGGAACGAAGAAGCGATTACGGCAGTGCAATATCAGCAGCCGGAGCAGCGCATGGAACAAGACTCGGGCATGAACATGAATCTTTGGCCTTACATCAAGCGCTGCAGAATGCTGTTGATGATGTCCAAGCACCTGCCCTGGATGAGAATGTGGCGTTCATGTCAGACTTACCTCTAATAAAAAGTAATTTCATTTAAGGACACTAAATGGTTTGCAAACAAGTGCTTGAAAAGAGTATATTGGTGTAATGCAATGGACATGTTTTTTATATGAACGCAAAGCATTTATTATTATCACCTTTTTTAATTAGAGTAGGACTTCTAATAACCAGACCAGATTATGTCTGCTTTCGAAGTTCCACACAAGTGGATGAAAAATAGCATCAGCTTATTGTCAAGTGCAATTTTAACTTTAAGTTTTCTAACGATTTTCTTTTAACTGAACCCTATAAATAGGCAAAGCGGCTTATCAATTATACGAATAATTTTACTTAAGGAGAGAGAGAGTCAGTCCAGAGTCAAAAACAAGGATATGCATACTCTGGTTATTATAAAAACCAAAAGATAAATTTACAATTTCTTGCAATTTTCCATGAATAAAGGAAATACAAAATTTGAATTTAACGTTATTAGCCTCGCAATAGTTCCATTAAAATTTCCATTAAATACAACGCTAAAAACAAAATTTGTACAGTTTTTCAAATATTGCATTTATATTGTGATTGGTGTTTGGTAGATGTATGAATGTTATTAAATTTCATATACAAGAGAGCGAGCCATCCTGTAGATTAAAAAATAGGCGGAGTGAATGGGGCGGTGCCACAAACATTCCAAAACAACTATGACATCAACCCCTAAACTGCATAAATATGATGTGAGTGTATGATGAAATAGAAGCTAGCTCCTCTAATTGGCAGGATTATTGTAAAATGATCCCTACACGCTGAGTTCACACTTGGATTGCAAAACATCAACACAATAAATAATTTTTCTTTTACAATGCGCAATGTACATTTATACAGCATTCTATTCATACTAACGTTTTTGTATTTGAAAAACCAACGCGTTTCGACACAGGTATGAAAAGTGGGAAGGAAGCTGGGAACCTTGGCTCTGGATCGCCTAGTGAGGTGTTTTGTGCAGTTCCGGGTCGACTTAGTCTTCTATCAAGTACATCGAAATATAAGGTCACAATTGCCGAAGTCCAACGCAGATTGTCACCGCCCGAATGCCTAAATGCATCGTTACTTGGCGGGGTGTTAAGAAGGTCCGTTTTCTCCAAGCTTGTTCAATTTATAAACTTCTAATAATCGATAAATATATTTTCAATAAAGAGCAAAGAGCAAAAATGGAGGCCGCCTTTTGAGGGAAAAGCTTGAGAAAATCGGTCTGAACTTACCGGCCGGACGACGAAAAGCTGCTAATGTCACACTGCTAACATCTTTAGTCGAGGGAGAAGCAACACACTTGGCCAAAGACTTTCACTTTGTTTGCGAAACTGAGTTTCCAGCCAGACAATTGGCTGAATATATTGTACGGCATCAAACAGAACCCCAGGACTCATATCGGCGAAAAGAAATTATACTTCACTCACAACAAGTATGTTACTACTAAATAATCAACAAGAGTTTTTTCATTAAGTTTTATAAATTAAAAAATTACAATGTCTATGCATGTAGATAGCATATTTGACAAACATGTAAGAAATCTTTAACAGGGTACATATATACATATAACAAGAGATTAGAAAAGACCTCTAGTTGCGGTACCCGACTGGGCGATTGCATGAACTCCAAGTGATTAGGATTTTGAAATACACTGCGCGTCATCAGGTTAGCGCCCCCCTTTACACTCAATCAAAAAGCCGAATGAAAGCTAAACCATCAGAGCTTCATCTTTAATTTTTTTTTTTTTTATTATACTACATCTATTTATCTTTAATACAGAGCTCGCAAATGAGGATTGATCGTTTTTTCGTATATGCTCTGCTTTGTATCATAACCGAAAAGCTTGCGCAGACACGATCTCGCTCTGAGGGACACTTTATTTTCTTTAGAATCTGTTTCGGTTAGACACATTGGAATGACTCATATTGTGACGCTCTCAAGTGAGTGTCGCGTAAAGACAAATACGATTTTCGCTCACACAAAGACTCTCAGCAAAAGACAGTTTACTAAAAAACTCAACAGAAATGATCTTTGGTTTCGTGTGCATGTAAATACATGCATACATACATACAAAAAGAASSMAACAATYRCGCGTGATTACCCATACAAACGCAACTGACAGTTTGCTTCATTTAACTCAAGCAAACGWTCAGTGTTTGACTTGASCGAWACGAAAACAGAAATAACTGTCTCGCTCAGAGCGCGAGCGAGCTAAGCCAGACGCGACAAAAACAGTTT